AGGCAGGCAGGCAGGCAGGCAGGCAGGCAGGCAGGCAGGCAGGGAACCTTGCTTTCTAGATGACTTTATATCAGGGAAATAGGTACAATTTGATTCACACAGGTTTTGAGTTCCTTTCTAGCACTGACAATGAAAAGTACATCTTTTTCACCTTAATTAAAATGAAAAGTATATGATATCATAAAATTGCATCTGTTTTATGATATTTAATGAGTTACTGGCAAGCTTTATGCATCTATCTTTCAGTATGTTGAACAACTGTGAGTGAAAAGGCAATTTTCTGGGGATTCATTTTTATCATACATGTGAACATATACATGAACAATCATGTTCTTGATAATTTTGATTATCATAGAAACACCTTCTTCAAAATTTCCTGTCTAATACCTGAATGAGTATAGTAAGAGTCTTTACATATTTTAGTGATTTCTAGTTTCATAAATACATGGCTTATGCTAATAGGGTATTTTCTTGGTATAATTACCAGTTGTTTACTATGATTAACTATGAGTGGCTCATTATTTCTTTAAATCATTAACAGTGTCTGTATAAAATAAAAATACAAGTACCAAGAGATATCAGTATTTTTTTGCCTTTCAAACAAAAATAGAATACAATATAAAGGGATTTTAATCCCTAAAAGGAATTTTTTTAAATTTACAGTAAGATTTAAATATGGTTAAATATGAAGAAATTACTCAGAAAACAAAAACTCACTTCAAACTGGGATGATAAGCACATGAGGAAAAGGATGGGTGGGGAAGAGATACATTTATATATGTAAGCAGGATGATGTGGTTAATTGTACTGCTGATTTTTGCTGCTCTACAGAGGGGAGCAGTTGATGCTTAGTTTTTTTCTTTCATTTTTTTTCTTGTCCTTTTAAATTTCTTATAACTTTTTTTTTCTTTTTATGACAATTTTGCATGCTTTCATCTGGTAATCTAAACAACTAATATGAAGACATTAGGCAATACAGCAACCATTGTCCAATTCTTACTGTTTTGTTTTGCCAAGTTCTATATCATTTTGAAGGGTTTTTTGTTTAACTATTTGATATTCTCTTTAGATAATATATCTTTAAAAAAACCTCACTTCGCTGAATTACTAACTCCAACCAATACAATTATTTGCAGTGAAGAAAAAATACGAGATCACCTTAAAATAATTACAAAGTTGGCTAAACTGAAGCATAGAAGATAATGAAATTGAGGGGTCACTCTTTTGTTAAATTATTAACTATCACAAATATGCTTTGTACAATGGAAATAATGTGAATACGAAAATTCATAATGAAATTATTACACCTTTATTTATTTTATTTTATTTTTTATTTTTTTGCTGTACCAGAGATTGAACTCTGGACCTTGCACTTACCAGACAGGCGCTTATGCCATTCAGCCATCTCCCAAGACCAATTGTGCATATTTTAAAGACATTCCTGTTCCATTAAGCATGTCTAAAATATTCCAGGAAGCTGTTTACTATGTACAATAAATTTCTTACCTCTTCCTACTGCATGCACAACAGAAGGGCCAAAGCCTCGGATTTGAAATCCAAGTCCATCAGCTGAATCTGGGATTTTCACTGTCCTAAAATCAACCCCAAAACAGGGCAAGATTAATTATAAATGCCACAACTGGTTAAAATGACAGGGCCAGCCAGATAGCTCAGTGGATTAAAGTGCCCTTTTAGGCAGACGGAGGGACCAGGGTGTGATCCCCAGTGTGCCATGCCGGCTCCAACCCTGGGGACACACTGAGATGGTGATTGAGACTGGGCGTGGTACCGTATGCCTGTAATCCCAGCACTTGGGAAGGCTGAAAAGAGGAGAATTACTAGGAGTCCAGTCTGTGTAGTGAGACCCTGTAGACCCTGTACTAAATACATTTTTTAAAAAAGATTTAAAATAGATGATAGCCTTCTCATTTTTGCTTCTCCTTCAGTAAAGACATACTGAAGGTGTACTATGTTAATAACACTGGTCAAGAAGTCCTCGGAAACAAACATCATTACCCTTGCCAAGGCACATAGTAGGCATGCAATAGAGTGTCTAAACTGAACACAATCATTGCCTGGTATATCTCAAAAAGAAACTCTGGAGCAGACAATCTTAATTCAGATAACCTTGATAAGCTTCTTCATGTCTCTGCCACAAAAAGTTACATAGAAACTGGTCACAGAATGATAATGCTGTAAAACTCATTTCTCAAGGTGCCAGTGGGAATGAAAAGAGACACTGTGGGTAAACTGCCCTGCATGGGGCTGTGAGCTAGTAGCTACTTTACGAAATGGAATCATCTCTTATATGTTTACTTTTACAAAAACAATGAGTATCTTACAAAAATTGTATAAAGATTTATATGAAATAAACACAAAGTCTGTGCATTTCTGTTGGGAGCTTCACCACAGAGCACGACCAAAGAACAAGTTATAAAGAGCAGAGTTGCCCAACACTATATCAAAATAATACCAAAATGTGATTACTTATAGTATTTATATAGTGACATTCTAACAGAATATCCCATCAAAAAATAAACCTGAATAAGAAAAGTAATATTTTCAACGCACCCACATAGCAAAGAATGTGAGGATGTTCAAGCTGTCACTCATAAATGAGATACTCTCGAGAAAGAACCCAGAAATCAGATAGTGACAGTGAAAAGTAGAAAACACTAGACAAGTTGGAACATCATAACAATAAAATGGAGTATAATAAATGTCACTAGAGCCCAGAACCAAGTAAATAAAACATAATAAATTTTGATGGGTAGCGCTTGATGCCCCAGAAACAACAGTGTTTTCTAAAAAAGAAATTAGCTATGAAATAAATGCTGGCAGGTCTTCTAGAGAAAGTGAGGTGGACTGTGAAGTTAGGTGGAGATGTAGTGGGCAATCCGAGCAGGACTATGACTTAGAACACTTGAGAAAGACAGTGACTGGAAAAAAAAATGAAAAAAAATATTTTTAAAAATAGGAATAAACAATTACATATTTTTACACAGAAATTTAGAAATCTAACCATATACAGCATTGTAGCAGGA